TGTCAATCGCCAAGTCAAAATTCGCGAGACTACTCATACAGCACCAATTTGAAAACTGCCCACTTTCTTTTGCTCGCCAGTATAGTAAACGGTGGCAAAGAATATGAAATACTAACATGACATATTATGATATGAAAATGACATAAACAACATGGAAGTGTGTCTACGAAGGGGAACAACTTAATAGCCAATGTCCTGCTAAGGGAATGAACCACGAGCGGGTCTAATTATTTCCCTTACATAATACCTCCCCTTCAGTCTGAAGGTATTTGAAGACTACCCAGAAACAATCACAACCTGAGAAATGTCAAAGTTCACAATATGCCCATGTCACGGCTGGTGACGTGCGTGTCGAGGGCAAAGTTGATCCTCATGTCGTCTCCACATCGGGCCGTCTGGTAGCACACGACCTCGTAAAGTTTGTGACCCAGGAAGGCGGTCACCACAGCTGGCTTCCATCTGTCCCTACGTCCACCTTTGTAGGAAAGCGCGAAGCATGGGCTGTCTTTGCTGAGACGACGAGCAGGCACCGGCTCATCTCGAACTCGGGATGGTAGGGGGCTCCGTGCAGGTGTAGAATGCCCCGCTGCTCACACCAGGTCTGGAACTCGGCAGACGAGAAACGGGTGGTGTTGTCCGTCACAATGGCGTATGGATAGCCAAAGTGAGCAAAGTCCTCGTCGAGTCTCCGGGTGGTTGCCTTGGTTGTTATCGAGGACATGAGGTGGATGCATGGATACTTGGAGAAAGCATCCACCATGACCAGCCAGTTGTGACCTCTGAAGTTGACGGCGTGGTCAATATGGACGCGGCTCCAAGGTTCGTCGGGGGTGATCCATGGGTGAGACGGCTGCTTAGGGGGCAGCCTCTGGTGCTCGTTGCAAGTTGTGCAGTGTCGAGCGACGTTTTATGGTGCAGATAGCTGCTGAGTCTGCACCAGTCTCCTCCCTATCAAAAGATGGATCCGCCCCTGCTGGCAATCTACGCAGGGCGTCTGCGTTGCCGTGCGCTGATATCTTGCGATACTCTAAGGTGAAGTCGTATTGGCTCAGAGTGAGAGCCCATCTGGCAAGTCGATTTGCTGCCGGAGCTGAAATTGGCTTCGTTGGTCCAAAGAGGGCAATCAGCGGCTTGTGATCTGTCACCAGGATGAAACGTCTTCCTATGACTGTGAGAGAAATATGACGACTGGTCTCTGACTGGTAGCAGCTTTGTTACGTCGCCAAAGTTACATTTTACGGTTCACGCTTTCTCGGTGTTCTGTTCTTAGAAGAACAGCGAACAGCACGAGACGTTGATCGGCCTTTTGACACGTTTCCCTTTTCTCGCTGTTTTGTCCTAAGAAGGACAGGAAACAAAACAAGACGTTGATCGGACAAGTTTGACACGCTTCACTTTTCTCGCTGTTTTGTCCTAAAAAGGACCAACATTTGACCAACTCCGGGGGGAGAAAGTCGAGACGATAAGCGAAACGTGCGCAAACTTTCGACAATGAGCGGACTGATAAGTCTCCGT